CCTTGTCTCCCCAAGGCCGACCCCGGTCACTGGTGGGCCAGCTTCTTTTTCAGGAATTCCGCCCTTCCATTCATGCCTACAGTGTTGGAATCTCCTGAGTACTCGGCAGAATCCTCCCCAGGCCCCCCAGAACCCTGATCACTTATGACCTGGCTCCTGAAGAAACAACCGCCATCCATCCTGGCCAGGCTAACTCCAGGGCCCTGTTCTGATCTAGCAGCTACTTAAGCCAGCCCAAGCTTAAGTGGTGCTAGGCCAGAGTCCCACCCAGTTGCCCTACTGTGTAAACTAGGAGGGCTGCTGCAAGCAACAGACACCAGCAGGAGCTGGAGAGAGGCCCTGCACGAAGCAGAAAATAAACTGCCAGCAAAAGCCATCCTCAGAAAACAACAGCAGCAGCAGATCCTCTTAACCTGGGAGCCATCTCTAGCCCCAGAAGCTGTGTTATATGTATTAATGAGCAACTGATTTTAAAATACTTTGCAAAGAATCAGGTATGAGTCTGAGCAAATTTCCAGTTCCCATAGCTGTTTGGAAAGGAGGAAAACAAACTATTTTTTCTTCTTCTAATCAAACAGGAAGCAGATTAGGGGGGAAAGTAGCAGATGTGATGGGCAACTTGGTGTATCTAGATATGATGATGTGGTTCCTTACGATTGTAGGAGGACTCGGGGAGCAGCTGATGGCCAGTGATGAAGCCAAGGAGGCCCCTGGGTGGGTGTGGCCTTGAGGCAGCACTAGGAGGCTGGGCTGGGGCTCTAGAAACTAGGAGAGCTGAGAAATGCCCACATCCCCGAAACCACCTTCCTTGCCCATCATCTGCCAAGGTGGTTCCAAGGGATGGTTAGAACACAGCATAATGCTCCTTGAACCATTTCAAGGTGGTGAACAAGGGCCACAGTACACAGAAGACAGGTTTAAAAAAAAATCCCCAAGGGATTTGAGACTTGCTCCTGCAGCCAGTTCATCATACTTTGTCCCATTTTTCCACCTCCATGCTAGGGCAGGACGCCCCTCCCCCCACCTCTGTCCCACCATCTGGAGCTCCACAGGGACTGACTGATGTCTGTCTCCCTGCCACCCTTGTGACTGGGCTAGAAGTGGATCTTCATACATCATCTGGAGCTCCCTGGTGCCTTAAGGAAGTCCACAGAGCTCGCTGTGATCTGTAAAGACCTCTGCAGTCTCTTGAAGCCCCTGCCTCTCACTGCAGCCCGAGTCTCTACCTAAGCATGCATCCTTCCCGGCCACTGCCATTCTGTTGTGTTTTAGTTGTGGCAAAACACACAACAAGATTTCTCCTCTTAATTATTTTTAAGTAAATGGTGATGTTAAGTATGCTCACACTTTGTTCAACCAGTCTCCATAAATTTCACAACTAATGTGAAACGATAGCCATTAAACAGCTGCATCCTACTGCCCCGAGTGACTGACATTCCACTTTCTGGCTGTGAGAATCTGACAGTCAGTCCAAGGGAGCCGGAACCAGTGCAATCAACTATTTCTTATCATTCTGTGGCTGGCTCTTTCCACCTGGCATAATGTCAGTGTTGAAGCATGTGCATAGATTTCCTTTCTTTGGAGGCTGAGAAATATTTTAGTGTGTGTAAATGCATTTATGTCTTTTCGTCCATTGATGGACACTTGAGTTTTTTCGACTTTTTTGTTTTGTTTTGTTTTTGAGACAGGGTTTCTCTGTGTAGCTCTGGCTATTCTAGAACTCGATCTATAGATCAGGCTGGCCTTGAACTCACAGATAAGCATGCCTCTGCCTCCCGAGTGCTGGGATTTAAAGGTATGTGCCAACACTGCCTAGCTTCACTTTTTTTTTTTTGCCATCTTGAATACCACTTTGCACATGTATATATAAAATATTTCTAATTCTTTTGCATTTGCATGGGGAATATTTGTATATGTGTATTAAGAAATCTCAGGAGAAGAACCCATTTCTGAACTAGATTTTATTTATGTTTCATGTATACCTTTCAGTCACTGAAAATGATTTTGTATGGTATTTCTAGTCTTGTTTTCTTTGTGAGTAGATGGGTGTATATTTGTGGGTGGGTGTGTATATCAGTGTGCCTTGGGGTCAGAGGTCAGCTTTTTATATCATTCTTAGGAGCTTGAGTCAGAGTCTCCTGTTGGCATGGATCTTACCCCGTGGGTTAGATTGGCTGAGCAGCAAGCCCTATGAAGTTGCCTTTTTCTGCCCCCTCAGTGCTAGGATTACAAGCACATGCTGCCATGCCCAGCTTTTCACATAGGTTCTCATGGTGGAACTCAAGTTCTTATGCCAGAAATACTTTGTCAACTGAGCCATCTCTCCAACCCTGAAATCCTGTTTTTGATTCTTTTGAATTTATACTCAGTAGTAATGCTGGGATGTATACTAAATTTTTTAAAATTTTATAAAGAACCACCGTACAGTTTTCTGTAGTTACCGCACTGAATTGTATTCCCACCAACGAAGCACATGGTTCCAAATCCTTCCTATCCCCAGCGCATGTTTTTTTTTTTTTTTTTTTTTTTTTTAAATTGCAGCTATCCTAGTGGGGAGGGGGTTGTGATGCATGACCTTGATGCTCAGTGATGTCAGACACCATTTCCTAGGACGGCAAGCATGCATGTACCACCACACTGGACTTATTTCACTAATTCTAGACTACTCTCACCTGGTTGAATGTGGCCCCATTTTACCTAATGTTGATTTTGATGAGGAAACTCTGTATGTGCCTAGTTCTTCAGTAGTTCCAAAGTATGCCCTCATTTTGTCCCCTTTGTCCCTCCCTTATGAAGAAGACAGGGAAACAGAACCTAGTCCAGCAGGTAATAGTCTCCCCACCACCCCTGTGGCATATTTGTTCCCTGTTGGCTGGTTTAACACCCATTCTCCTTCTCCATCTTTGTCAGCCATTCTCTGCCCTTCGTTTCTCACCTGCTGCGTGGATATGGGCCCTGCGGTACTTCAGGTGGACCCTGGGGTGGCTTTCTGAAGGGTATCCTTTCCTGTAGGCCTCCTCTTGTTCACTGCTGCTGAGTACATTTTCCCCAATACAAGTTTCACCACTTGGCTGTTTAATTCAAGTTCTTGGATGTTTAATTCAAGTACTTCCTTCAGGATAAAGATCACACATCTCAGTGGCACATATGCTGTCCATAGCAGGCCTGTCATTCACCCTAATCTTGAGCCCCTGTCCTGATGCCTAGGCTGGAATGCCCATACAACTGTATATTTGTACGTATGCCTGTACCCAGATTTCCATAAGGTCCTGGTCTTTCTGGCCAACAAGATCCAGATCCTGTACCCTAGCCACAGCCCACCCTTGCCTGCTGTAGCCTCTGCCTGTCTCTTGGCCATGGGGCCTGTCTGTAGTATAATTGTTCTGTTTTTCAACCCCTAGTTGGGTTTGACCCCCAAGGGCAGAGACATTAGCCCAGTGCCTCTCTCTCACAGAGTAGGTATTTGTAGAGAAGCAAAGGGAGATGAAAAAGGAAAGCGTGAGATTTCTAGTTCATGTCTATGCTCTAGACACTGCCCTCTGTCATGTTCTCTCAGTGCAAGGTAGCTGAAGCTAGGAGGAACTCCCACAGTGACCCAGTTCAGAATTGCTTCTTTCTCTGGCCACCCTGAAACAGACTGACCCCGGCCTACCTTCTGGTAAATGCATCCCAGCAGAGATGACTCATAAGTGTGTGACTCAGGCAGAGCCGCACAGCTGGAAGAGCAGCCAGCACGTCTGCTGGGGAGGGCAGTGTGCTGGAAAGAGCCGGAGCCCAAGGCAGGCGTGTGCCAGCCAGCCTCCTCCAGCCCTGTGCCTGCTCACTGGAGCAAGGCTGTAAGCTGTCCTTTCTCAGCCTGCATGGCAGCACTGGGCTCTGGTCAGGAGGCAGAGACAGAAGGATTGCCACAAGTTAGTGGTCTGCATAGCAAGACCCTGTCTGTACAAAGAAACAACTCTTCTGCCTGACTTAATATTATTATATTATAGCCCACTGTTTGTTTAGAGGCCTACTGTGATTTTAGATACTATGCTGTAGGCCTCATTCTGTTAAATCTTCACAGTAGCTCAGCAGCACAAGTAATAGCAAATATGGTACCGTAGGCCACTCTCCCCCCCCCCCACACCACATGTACAGGCACATACACACTGATGCTCACACACACACATTGCCACACTTTTACTGCATTAGGTACCTTTCTCATTGGAGCAAAAACAACAACAACAAAATGCCTGACAAAAGCAAGTTAAAGAAGAAGGTCTGTTTGGGCTTACAGTTTGAGAACATGGTCTACCATGCTGGGGAAGGCACAGTACAGGAGCCTGAGGAAGTTGCATCCTCTGTATCCACAGTTAAGAAGCTCAGCTAGCTCTCTTCTTTTATTCAGTTTCTTGAGGTGGTGCCATCTACTTTCAGAGAGGGTCTTCCCTCTTCAGTCAGACATTTCTGGAAACACCTTCATAGATAGACCCAGAAGTATGTTTCCATGGTGATTTTCACATTCAGTCAGGTTGTCAGGGTCATCCCACAAGAAGTAACATTACTTCATCTACTTTTTATAATACTCAGTGATGCAGGAGCTCTTATCCTCACTTCAGAGATAGAAACCTGAGGCGTTGGAAGAGACTTTACAGATAGAGGTGTCTCACAGTGCCATAGGAAGGAAAGGACAGAACTGTGACATAGACAGAACTGTGACAGAACTGTGATCTGAGGTCTAGAGAGGTTAGTCATTTACTCAAAGCCACATGGCCAGGCAGTGGTGGCCCTCCATTGACAATAAAGACTTGGTTCTCCATGGCCTTCCCCATGTGTGCTTCCCAAGGACCAAGTCCAGAGGTGAAGCAGAATACAGGGGCAGAAGCTTTCTTCTGAGCTCTGAGGGTGCAGCAGAAGCGGAGCACTTGAGAGTACACTGTGTTTTCCATCTCTTTCCCCTTTGGGGTCTCATAGCATCTCCTCACCTGGGGGATGTTGACAAGATCCTTTTCAACCCACAGATAGCGAGACAGTCCACTATCACTATGGCCCAAAGGACCTGGTCACCATCTTGTTCTACGTCTTCATCACCATCATCTTGCATGCCGTGGTTCAAGAGTACATCTTAGACGTAAGTGACAAGTTTCTGAGGTCAGAAGCTGGGGATCCATTAAGAGGGCAAGCCCTACCATGGAAAAAAAAACCGCTCTGATTCACTCTGTCCCCTAGCCCCTAACGTAGATCCTTTGTTGGTCCCAGAGTCAGTCCTTGGCTACACTTTGTCTCTGTCCTCTCTCTCAAAAATTCTTTAGTTCACACTGTGGGGCAGCAAGTAGAGAGGAAGCTGTCTGAAGCACACCATGAGCCTATCTTTAGGGGTCTTTCAAACACAGCAATGACCAGAAGATGTTTCCTCTGGTAGAAGCTAACAGCCTTATCATCTGCCTTTTCAAAGTACTTACCTGAAACTCAGCACCCCATGAATACACAGGAGGCCTATGCTAAATAGCTTGGGTCGTAAGGAGTTCAAACTACTACCTCTCTCTTATAAAAGGGAAATGGGAGTGTACAATCTGCCAAGTATCTGCACGCTCATGTACTGATGTGTGGCGCTTTCTCTCTTCTTTAGAAAATCAGCAAACGCCTTCATCTCTCCAAGGTCAAACACAGCAAGTTCAATGAGTCTGGACAGCTGGTCGTCTTTCATCTCAGCTCGGTGATATGGTGCTTCTACGTGGTGGTGACGGTGAGTAGTCCTCATGACTGCTGGAGAATACAAAGCCAAGCCACCAAGCCGTCTCTTCATTGCTGATGAAATGACTATGAAGGGCTTTAAAGGGAAGAAAAGGAGCCGGGAACAGTATCTTAGAATTGAAAATCATTTTGCATTCTCCTGGTATTGTAGTGAGAAGATAGATGAAATAGTATAGATGGCACTTAATAGAGTCATCCTCTCTTACAAAAGCACTTGTGACAGTTTTTACCCATATTACATAGTAACAGCTATCCACAAAGCTCTGTATTATTCTACCAGTCCTGTCTTCAAACACTGTCCCACAAAGTAATTTCCCCCCAGTACTGAGCCTTGTACATGCTAAGTAAATGTCCTTCCCCTGAGCTACAACCTCACCCACAAAATAAACTCATATTCACTCAATACTCCTGATGTTGACTTAAGGGTTCCATGCTCGTTTTTGCCAGTATGTCCACAGCCATATACTTCCAAAATGGCGAGCATGTAAGCATAGCTTGGACTCAGAGATCTGGGCCTATTTGTGCCACTATGACAAAATACCTGATATGAACTACTGGAAGGAGGGAAGATTAATGCTGGCTCAAGTTTCAGTGCTTTCAGTGATGTCTGAGGCCATTGCTTTGAGCCTGAGGAAAAGCAGAACATTGTGTGGAACACGTGGAGCAAAGCAGCTTACCTCATGGCTGACAGGAAGCAGAGAGAGAGAGGAAGGATCCAGGGTTAATGTACCCCCTTCAAGGGTGTGTCCCAGGGAGCTACTTCTTCCATCTAGGTCCCACCTCCTAGTTTCTACCACTTTCAAACAGTGAATATGCCTAATTGATTCCACACGATTAAATTTCTCGAAAGTCAAGCCCCTGAGCATTGCACCAAGGATCAAGCTGTAAAGGTTTAGGGGTGTGGTTCATGTCTAACCAATTCATAGCCAGTGTTACCCTTCTGCACATCAAATCCTTTGATAGAGAAAAACATCCCCCAGACAAGGACTCTGGATTGTCTGTCATTTGAGGTTCACTGTTAGGTGACCCTGCCTGTTTTACTGTACCGTTAGCACCTGCTCTCACATGGAGCACCTCTTCTCTGTAACCAGGTCCCAGGGATTTGGAAATTTCATCAGCTCCCTGACCTCAGAGATTTTTCGCTGCTCAGCTGCCTCCCCTGTGCTCTCACTGACAGAGATGGGCCCAACCATGAGGAACTTCGTTTCCAGAACTAAATGCCTACTGCATAGTCTCAAAGCAGGAGGCAACATGTCTGTCTTATGTGTTGCTTTTATTCCTGTTATCAGTTCATCTCAGAACACTTTTTTCCAAGCAGCACACTAAGAATTTTAAATGAAAGACCAGGGACTTCTGTCGTTTCAGAGGGGGCTCCCAGACTCCACTCCCGGGGGACAGAGTTGCTTTGCATGAGTAGGGCCAGTCACCATGTGTGGTGTGGATCAACACTGTCCCTCTGTACCTTAGGATCTCAGGCCTCTCTCAGCTTCCCGACATTGAGTCCATTCCCACCTCTTGGTGGCCTTAGCTGCTTGAAGAAAAAGGGCCCCAGAGTACCAGAGACACCAGACTGTTTGAGGGCGGGGAGGGGGCATTGCCTCATCTCTGAAGCCTTTCTTCCCCTGTATCACTCACGCTAAAATTCCACCCCAGCTGGGAGACCTGACTCTTTTTGGGGAAGATCCCAGGTCTTTATCTTGTGGAGATTCCACGCCCTCCCAACATGCTCAGCAAGACATGGAGACCAGGGAGCCATGCAGGCTTCTAGCTTTATTCCCTGCGCTCACCTCCCTCCCGACCGTCTGCAGGGGAGGAAGGGCACTGGAGAATATGAGAAGTGATTTTTGTAAGAGGAATAAAAACACCTGGTTTTCAAATCACAGTTTTCTGTTGCAATGGAAATTCGACATGATTCTTTCTCTTCACTTCCCAAACTCGGAAAGTCTTTCCTGTTCTACCTTAAAAATTAAATTCTGAAATACACAACATTGCTTTGCCGGTATGGGCCCCCAAATGTGTCAGATGTTGGTGACATACCCCTGGCATTCCTGGTAGGGGCCAGGGATGCTCTTTTATTTTTTCAGTTCAAAGGACAGGCTCAGAAGGAAGCTTATCTGTCTCCAGCTGTCATTAATGTAAAGGATACGGAACCTAGGCCCCTGTACTTTTTGCCTACATTGCTGTTGTCTCCTTTTCCTACTGAATCCACTTCCATTCTGGGCCCTTCACTCAGCTCATTATCTGTCCAGCCAGATGGATCTCTTTAAAGCATGAACTAAATCATGTGTTCCCCTCCTTGAAATAAGCTCCCCTAACAGCTGCAGGGAAATTGTTTTCTCTTCCTTGCTTGTGTGACCTGGGCCTTGCTTATGTGAGCCTTGCTGGTGACATCTGTATGGACTCAGCACTCTAGGCTCACCTCTGTTCCTCCAGCTCTGCTGGCTGCTTCGTTTGCTGGAGTGCTCTGTCCACAGGCATCATTCGTATAGTGAGCCCTTTCCTGCTACCCTGCCTCAACCTAAGTGTCACTTCCTCGGAACACCCTCCCCATTTGTATTATCCACACTATACCCGTTATTGGTGTTTAACTGGAGTGTGTGTGTGTGTGTGTGTGTGTGTGTGTGTGTGTGTGTGTGTGTGTTCTGTGTGTGAGCATGGTGTCTGCTAGCAAGCAACTTTCATCAGACACACAGAATACATACCTACATACACACAGAGGCACCATGCTCACTACCGCACCCTTAGTGTAGCCTCTGGCACATGCTAAGTGCTCAGTATCAACTGTTAAGCTGATAAAGAAGTAGGGAAGGCATTTCCTTTCCTTTTAAAAAATGTTTATTTTTATTGGTGTGTGTGTGTGTCATGTGTATGGGTGCCTCTCGAGGGCAGAAGAGGGTGCCAGGTAGATATCCTGGAGGCAGAATAAAGGGAGTTTTGAGGCACCTAACATAGGTGCTGGGAACAAACTTGGGTCCACCGGAAGAGTAGCAGGTGCTCATAACTGCCAAGCCATCTCTCCAGCTCCCTTCCACCAGTTTCTTAAGTAATGAATTGGTTTCCAGAAGCACCATAAGCAATCAGATTTCCACTACTGTTACAGTTTAAAAAGAAAGCAAGAATGTGCATCAAATTCCTTACCAGAAATCCCAGCCTTGCTTGAGTATTTGACACAGACATTTTTTTTTTTTTTTTTTTTTTTTATGGGCTGTGCTGAAGAATGTGGTTAGATTTTCTAAGAATGTCAAGAAAAGAGGAGGAAAGCAGAGAGGGACCGCTGGTGACACGCTGAGGTCACTGGCAAGGCTCTAGGGCCCAGGTCACACAAGCAAGGAAGAGAAAATAATTTCACTGAGGCTGCAAGGGGAGCTTGTTTTAAGGGGAGGCAACAGAACATCCTACGTGCTGGAGGATGTGGAGGCCCTGCATTTACTGTCCCTCGCCTCACCAGATGTGACTTCATATTTTAAAGCTCCAGATCCAGTAGTCAGTGAAACAGAGAAAGCCAGGAATCAGAACAGGTCGCTGTCTGCAAGCTGGTTGTCTCAGAATGATTTTGAAATGCCTGTTGTTTCCGAATAGACAGAAGGCACTGAGGATATCAGCATCTAGGTAGCAGCTGGCTGTGTTATGTCTAAATTCTGCTAGTTTTGCGCTTCTTGTTCGAACAGCAAAAAGGGAGGCTGCTGGGAAAATAGGAGGGATTGCTCCAGCAGGCCGAGGCCTGGCTTGGGTAGATGTCAAGAATCGGAAGAGAACAAAGTATTTCGCATGTACCCCCAGCTACCTGTCAAGGCCATGGTTTGGGCTGGAAGGGGTTACAGTGCTTGCTGTATAGCGCACGACCCCGGAACTCAGGCGCCTTGGCATGCCTGAACTAGGAGGCAGCCAGCCTCAGCCCTCCTTTACCCTCCTCCCTCAGACAGCTGCCCAGACAGGGCTGGAAAGGGCTCCTCACAGAGCTGGTGAGTCACTTTTCCTTTGACTCTTAGCTCCACCTCCTGCAGTCCCAGAGGACTGGACATTTGCAAGAAGGCAGCATTTTTCTGAGGAATTTTTTTTTTTTTCCTGGCTTGTTGGCTTCCAAGTTCTGACCTCTCTGTCTCCTACGTGAAGAGGCCAAGTGAGAAGTTCCTGTTTAAACACACAAGCCCATCCAGGCCCTGGGTCTATGGGGTGTCCCACAGCTCCTAGCCAATATTTTTGGCAGAAATGCTCCTCCCCCCAAACACACACACCACCTCCAGTCTAGGAAGTAACACTCTTCTTGTTAAATCTCTAGCTTCTTCCTGTAGGAAGGGGCCACCTCACCCTTCAGGAGTTCCTGGAATGAGACACAGTATGGCTCATTAGGTGTCACTATTTCTGAGGGCAGAGGTCGGACAAAGGCACCGTTGTGAATGGTATAAAGGGAGGTGAGAAAGAGCAGAGGTGTGGTTGTGTCAAAGCTCACCGATACCACACACTGCCACCTCAGTGCTCTGAGCGGAACACCTCTTTGCCTCACTCTGTGGATGACCCAGGCAAGAGGAAGGTAGGGGTGAGCAGAAATTACAGTTGAGACCTCTTTCCAGCCTAGGTTGCTGTGTCAACACCGATACAGGTGTCTGATTGTCCCCATCACTTAGGGGGCCTAGCTCACTGTGCTCCTGGAAGCCCAGGGTTGTAGCTTCAGAACTGTGGACAGTACTCAGCATGCATCTTGTAGGTGAAAGGGCATTGGTGACTGGAGGGTAGTGGGGTCCTTCACTGGAACCAACCTTCTTTGGAAGCACAGCTGCAGCTCTAACAAACAGTAGCTCTGGGCAATTTCCACGTGCTCTGTGAACTTTCTCACCTCATTTCAGATCTTTGCTATCTGTTCCTGTATTTCCTTTTTTTTTTTTTTTTTCTTCAAGAGGTGACACCTGGTCAGAGTCATAAAGGCCTCTGTTTTGATTTGCTTGTTTGTTTATTTGTTGTTGTTTTTTTTTTCCAAAAAGAGTTGAAAGCATTCATTCACTCACTCATTCCACCAAATAACATTCTTCTGGGTCTCTTGCTGGAAATGGTTTGGTGTCTTGTAATCTTATATTAAAGGTTCTTCTTGCCTGTCCTTAGGGATATTATAGGTCTTTGGCTGAGGGGATGTCTTGGGTAGGATTTCCATGGCTGTATCTAAAACACCACAACCAAAAGCAACTTGGAGGGCGGCGTAGGGTTTCTGCTCTTACAGGTTTATGCTCTCACATTCAGGGAAGCGAAGGTCACAGTATATCCACAGTCAAGAGGCAGGGCAAGATGGATGCTGGTGCTCAACTCCGCCTTTTGATCCTGCCTGGGACCGCAGGCGCTATGGAGGTGACACCCACAGTCTGAGTCTTACTTCCTTAGCCAGCTTTAGAGACTTCCTTGTAGACCTGAGCAGAGGCCTGTCTCATAGGTGATTCTAGGACCTGTCAGGGTAACAGTCGCTATCAACCATCATGGTGACATGTGACACTTCAGTCTCTAGCAGCCGTTATGATTCTAGTGCATTTAATCCTTTATTACGAAGCAGTTCTTGGGTAGATACATATCCAGGACAGATACCTCACGAGACACTGTCACAAAAATTCACTTTTATTTCCAACAATAACTCTGTAAAGCCAGGGTTTCACTTCACAGATGAGCCTGGGGAACCAAGCTGTCTCAGTAGCCGTAGCTTCTGTCAGACCCCTCTTCAGACATAGGTTGCCAGACCCCAGAGCATGGCAGTTCCCTTCACAGTTGGACAAGTGTCATTGGTTCTTCACACAGGGGTCCTTTGTTTCCTTAAGCTGATTGTTCCTCTTGGGAGTTGATGGAGGCCAGGTGCATTGATGATCCCTGGGCCAGTCAAGGCCCTGTCAGGTCACATGGCCACATCTCTAAATGCCTTCTCTTCTCACCCACCACAGGAAGGATATTTAACAAACCCAAGAAGCCTCTGGGAGGATTACCCACATGTGTACCTCTCGTGAGTATTTGTGGGACTCACCAAGGCCAGTGAGACCCAAGCCACAAGCTGAACCTGTAGAGCATGGGGTTGCAGGCAGTAGATCTCTTTGAAAACCTCCTCAACTTGAAGCATTATCTGTATTAACTCCATCCACAGAGGTACCTAGCCTGCTTGTGACTGATACAAACAACTCTCCATCAGGGTCTCTGGCTTTGTGTCTTATTGGAGATACCTTAAGTTCATAGCGCATCTCCCTTCCATACGCATGTTCCTGTTTGTAATGCTGCCAAGACCTGGGCCGACCTCCCTCCGGGGACCACCCTGTGTCCCTTCGGCCTCTCAGAGCATCAAGAGCAAAGGGTGTGGAGCTGAACAACCTAGAGCCTTTCTATTGTTGTACCCAGTGGTTCGTGCACAGGGTGCTGTAATCAGCTCCCTCCTCAGCTTTTCTTTCTCTGGGTTGAAGAACTGTGTTTGGTCACTACTCCTTCCTCTAATGGACATGCTGTGGCCTTTAAAGTGGTTCTAATGGGCTCACACATGGCGCTGTGGGTGTGGTGGTCTCCGTACCCACCCTCCTCTCTCTCCCTTGCTCCCGCTGCTCACCCACAACCTTGGCTTAGGCCTTTCCTTGTGTTCCTGGCAAGTATCCTGGGGATGTTCTTGCTCCCCCTTGTTATTTAACTCTGTCGTCTCCAGCTTTCAGGTGAAGTTTTTCTACTTGTGTCAGCTGGCCTACTGGTTGCACTCACTACCTGAGCTTTACTTCCAGAAGGTCCGGAAGGTGAGTCCTCCCTCCCCCTGCCCTCTCTGTAGTCCTCTTTTCCCCTATAGCTCTCCCCTTGTTCCCAGTGACCTCTCTCCTTCCTTTACTCTGGAAGCATGATGTGTTGGCTGATGATGGAGTCCCACACAGACCCCCAAGAGAGCGGTGTCAGGCTCTCGACTCCTCCACCAAATGTGTGGCCATTGACAAAAATCAAATCTAATCCAGATATCTGACAGAGAAGTTCTTGCCATCCCCAGTCCTTTTTGTAGTCTTCCTCAGAGTCATGCCGGAAGCCTTCTTCCTACTTCCGGTGTCTTCTTTCTCAACCCAGACCTGCCTTCTGGCACCAGGCTTGGAGCTGCTGCCTCAGCCTTCTTGTTACTAGGCTAGTGTATGGGGTTCTCATGGGATGTGGGGCTGTGGGAGTAGGAGACCTGGCCCTTCCTTGTTTGCCTTACCCGTCTCCTGCATTCTCTGCATATTTGTTCAGAGAATGCACATGCTCACTGTCTGCCCTTCTCTTTTCCAGGAAGAAATCCCCCGCCAGCTGCAGTACATTTCCCTGTACCTGCTTCACATTGCTGGGGCATACCTCTTAAAGTGAGTGAGAGCAGAGCCGGCCCCCTTCCTTTGCCCTTTTATGCCCCTGTGTCTAGCCACATGACCACCCAGCTAACAGGCATAGATACCAGCTGTCTGGGGTGTACCATGCATTCTCAGACTGGTAGGAAAGACAGCCACAAGTAAGAGCTGTGATGAGCTCTGATACAGTATGCACCATTAGCCACGAGAACCCAGGGTGAGGGTTAGTCACCTCAACCCGAGGCAGACCCAAGGAAGACTTCCGGTAGAGCAGTCCTTTGAACCGTGCCTTTTCAGCCAGAAGCTGGACTCTTGCCATTTGCCACATGGTGTCCAAATGCTGCTGGAGCACATAGCACTACAGTTCATTTATTGGCTTATAGGGAAGTAGAGAGCAGTGTGGTTGTTCTAGAAGTGGGAGGGATTCCTGCGCCAGGCCTCAAGTGTCTCTTTTACAGGCAGTATATTGATGAACGGGCTGTTCTGTTGGTAACTGGTCTTTCCATGAGCTTTTTGTGGACAGAGTAGGACCCAAACTTTGTATGTAGGCTAGCTTTTGGGAACTTCGCTACGGTGCGCACATGTTCTGGGGCCCTATTTCGGAGGAGCTCACAACAGGCTTCCTGACTGATGAGTAAATAGTGTGTGTGTTGGAGTCCACCAGCTCTCAAGCTCTGGCTCTCTGTCTCTGGAGGTGGAGGACCTTGGCAGCTGTTTCAGCTGCTCTGAGGATGGAGGCTCACAGCTCCCAGGCAGAGGGTTATGGTGACTGGTTTGCAGCGCATGTGGAGCACCACACAGGAGAGCTTCCTGTTTCGTCAGGGAGCAGGAAGTCTTTCTGGGTGCACCCTCAAAGCTCAGCAACATTGTTCTGAGCCCCTTCCGTGTGTGATTCTGGTAGAGTAAGAAAGGAAGGTGCCAGATACTGTGCTGTGTGTGAGTCAGGTTCATTGTGGGGACAAGTAACGGCAGCTGAGCCAGGTGAAACAGGTCCAAGGCTGGGATACGGAACAGGAAAACTCCCTGAAGGTACAGCAGCTAAACTGTCACAAAGGATAAGGCATTGCCCCCCACGCCAGAAGTGGAAAGCAGAACACAGGCACTGGGGGCAGCCTGAGCCACTGCATGCTGGGGTGGCTTCTGCTCCAGGGTGTCGTGCAGGGAAGAAAGGTCCTGTCTTTCTCTCCTCCAGCCTGAGCCGCCTGGGCCTCATCTTGCTGCTGCTGCAGTACTCCACTGAGTTCCTTTTCCACATGGCTCGACTCTTCTACTTTGCAGATGAGAACAACGAGAGGCTGTAAGTGGGGCTGGTGGGCGCTGGCCTGTCCAGAGACCTTTGGGGTGGGACCTGGGTGTCTCCTGTGGTCTGAACGGTTGGAGAGTGCTGCTCTAGCTGTCAACTGCCTCCTCGCATGCAGGCAGCACTCGGCACTTATTTCTGGTCTAGAACTATTGGGAAAAATCTCACCTCCCTGAGTCCTCTTTGATTCTCTGTCCCACTGGGTTGCTCCTGAGGATGGGGTGAAGGTTCCCTGAGGGGCTCTCAAAGCTGACATCCCTTTTCTGCCCCTGCGAGAAGGTTTAATGCCTGGGCTGCTGTGTTTGGGGTCACACGTCTCTTCATCCTCACTCTCGCTGTGTTGGCCATCGGCTTTGGATTGGCTCGGGTGGAAAACCAGGTGTTTGACCCCGAGAAAGGGAACTTCAACACCTTGCCTTGCAGGTGAGTTGGCAGAAGCATGAGGTGATGAACTGGGGTTCTCTGGACACTGCCAGGCGCCTCTTGAATGTGGCACATCTACAGGGAAGGTCAGGAAACAGATGACCCTTGAGTCGCCACACAGAAACATTTAGCGGCAAGTCTATTGACATCAGTCTCCTGCTTCCATCAAACTTCCTTTGCCTCTCAGCTTTGGTGCTCTTAGTCTGAAGTTGGAACCTGAGGCCAAATATGATGCAGACCCCTCACACTTATTTAGCACATCGTGCTGCCAAGAACATCTCTCATCCAGGCTAGGTTGATCATGACACCCTTGTGAGACCTGGAAGGTTTGTCCTCCATGTCTTGCTCTGTGGCCTTCCCTAGTATCAAGGAAGGCAGCCTGGAAGCTATGTGGTCCACAGATGGACCTAAGGCATTAGAGTGCACCCTGTCTCTCTAGGGTTGCTCCCACAGATGTGTGTGATGTTCTAGAAGAGAAGTATTTTGGCACTGTCACAATCTAGTTCACTTGAGTGTTACCAATATTTGTGTGGCTTACATTGGCCTTATTATGGGCCATGCATATGGGAGAGATGACAACTGTGGGTATGTCGTGTAGGATTTGTGTGATTGTGGTAGTGAGTATGCAGCTCTCACCTCCCTCCCATCACATTAGAGCCTTCACCTCACATGGCTGAAGGATACTGTAGCAGAGACTGACAAGGAGCTCACTTTTCACTTTGCCAGTGATTGTGGGGAGAGCAGGCCTGGTTTCCCCCACACCTCCTTCTGTAGGCTGTGGACCTGATCCTCACCCTTAGATCCATCTCTGAACCTCCACAGGCTCGGCATGCTGCTGCTGGTGTGTGTCGCCCAGGCCTGGCTCATGTGGCGCTTCATCCACTCCCAGCTGCGACACTGGCGGGAATACTGGAAGGAGCAGAGTGCCAAGCGCAGGGTTCCCGCTGTCCCCAGGCTTCCAGCCAGGCCCATCAAGAGAGAACCTGGTGAGTGTCGTGGCTGTGGCAGAGAGTGAGTACATGAGGTCTGTTTGGGATGGGTGAAGTAGAGTTGGGACGTGGCTCTTAGGTGCTCCACAGACCAGTCCTTCTGGCTCCTCCTTCTAGACACTTCTCTCTGGGCAAGGGGCTTGATCTGGCTTCTATCTGAGACCCTATGTGAGCAGGCTGGCTGTAACAGGGCCTGGGGCCCTGGCCACTGTGAGTCAGGGCAGCACTGGGTGGGGACTCCTGGAAGGAAGTCTGTCCTCTGGGTAGCCTTTGGCGTCTAGCCAAGTTGTGCTGCTGTTGCGGCTGCTATCACCCACGTCCTGTGGTGCACAGTGGCTGTGTCCTCATCTGCCCTCGTGCTCTACATCTCGGCCCACCCCTGCCTCCCAGACCGTTAGCTTCCCATCTCTCTTCAGGTCACCTGGTGTTAGGGAGGAGCAGCGGGGATGGGACACCCACATCTCCACTGGCTCCTGAGCATCCTTGAGTGATCCCCCATACGTGCAAGTCCTCAGACATCCCAGCCCTAATCTGCTGCGCAGCCTGGGGCTCTGTCTGCATGCCTGGCTACTGACTCACCTGCATTTTTCCAGGCAGCTGCCTGCCTGGCAAGAACTTGTGTGTTTGTTTGTGTGCAGCTGGGTTTGAGGAAGCCTGAGGGACAGGGTTTAGGAGGAGGGGTTTCTGGATGTCTACAACTCATTGAGTTTATATAGATATTTTGTTTGTTTGGGGTTTGTTTGCGATAGGGCTTCTCTGTGTAGCTCTGGCTTTCCTGAAACTTGCTCTGTAGACCAGGCTGGCCTCAAACTCAGAGATCCAAGTGTCTCTGTCTCCTGTGTGCTGGGATTAAAGGTGTGTACCAGCACTGCCAAGCTGGAGTCTTGTTGTCTCATCTCTTCTCCTTGTCACCATTCCTGTTGCTGAGCCCTGTTGGTGCTCTGCTTGGTTGAGGGGCTGGGACACTCAAGGAGCTAAGAGATTCAAGCAAACATTGCTCAGACCTCGATGTTGGCTGCTGCCTGTTCTTCGGTTCTTGTGAGTCATCGTAGATGGCGTCCACTAAAAGACAGTCAAAACTAAGCACCTGAAGCAAAGCCACTTGTCAAAGGCACTAGGACAGGCAGCAACCTGCCTTGGACTGTCTGCTGGCTTCCATTGGCTACAGCCTGCTTCCTGTTTGGATGGTCTGCATGCAACAAGGCCATAGCCCCATTCATCAGACACCCCTACCCTCTAATGCCCCCATTTTCCTCCCCCGGTGTCAACAGCAACCCATGTGCACCTCTTCTCTTCATTCCCCAGGTTACCATGAAAATGGAGTGGTAAAAGCAGAGAATGGAACCTCCCCACGGACTAAGAAACTCAAGTCTCCCTAAGGCCAAAGTGCTGAGTGCAGGGACCCTTTGGGTGAGGGCCCAGCAGGGAGACGAGGAACCCTGGCCCCCAGCTCAACCTCTCCACCCTGCTGGCCGTGCTCCATCTTCCTCAGTAGAAACCTTGACATCAAAGGGGGACTCACTCTCTACCTTCTTGTCTTTCTCTTCTTTCATAAACCATTCTCAATAAAGCCAAAAATCCTCCTCTCTTGCTCCCTTGAGCCACCTCATGGCCTCACCTCTGTTCTCTTTTGGGTTTCTCAGAGGCCTACATTCTCCTAGTCATCTTCCTGCTCATCTCTTTCTCTTTCTTCATGGCTGCTTCTTTTTCTCCTGTCTTCCTGACTTTAATGTGCAATTTCTCTGATTTTTTTTTTTTTTTTTTTTTTTACAATGGGAGGGAGCTAAGCTTGCAGTCCTGTCCATCAGTCCCAGGATCTGTCAACCTGGAAGCCTCCTCTTGCCAAGGAGCTTCTGCTAGAGCTGGCGATCCTCCGTGGCCCTTGTGTGGACGGGCAGGAGGAGCAAAGGCCCTCCCTCTCAGATCACAAAATTCTTGGTGCTGACTGACAAGATGTAGGATTCTGGTTCTACATGTCCAATCCCAAAGTGTTTCGCTTTGGGACATGGTGACTTCATCCAGAAAGACAGTGTTAATTAACTATTGAGTCCCAGGACTCCAAAGAAGAGTTTCCAGTGCTGCATTTGAATTGGAAACCAGCCTGCCTTCGCTCTAGGGGTGACAGGCTGAGGAGGACATGCCTTCCCACTTCTACCACAAGAGCAAAGCGCGCCCAACAGCTGCCTCTTCTGGAAAGGTGGCCTGACAAGAATGACAGAGTCGCTCTGGACCGTTCCCCAGCAGCACCAGCTGCTGTGCTTTCCTTACCACCCACCAGCATCTAAAACCAAATGAAACAGCAGTTTTCAACCTGCCCAAGACATGCTGTTCCCAAGTCCAGAAGCAAGCAGCCCTGCCCAGGGACAGACTTGCAACCTTGACTTCATCTCTCTACCGCAGAAGCGTGAAGCCTCAAGGACACCAGCCCCTTGCGGTGGTCCACCGGTGTTCCAAGAAAGGTCACCTGCCCCCCTCCCTTCCGCTGGCTTCACCTGAGTGTTCTTTAAAATTGTTGGTGTCATTTGCTGATATTGTTAAGCAACACATAGAGCCTGATACCGGGATGCCTCAGGGTCACTGCTGGCTGTATGACCAGACACAGCCATGTCCATAGGAGTCTGTGGCCCCTTTCCCTTCAGTATTCTTTCAGCTCTCTTCTACCTGAAGATGGTGTCACCAGGTCCTTGTGGTAACTTGTGAGGACTTCCAGAAGGGATGTAGGCTTCAAAGGGTCCCTGAACTCTGCTGGAGTATGGGGGAGCAGTTCTTGGTGACACAGGAATGTTAATGTTACCTGATAATGCTGGTCTTCCTTTCACATCGTGTACAGACCAGAGCTTGAATTTTTACCCATAAACAGTGAGATGAGTCTTCATCAAGGCAGCTTCCCCTCTCCACTAACAGTATATGTAAAATCTAACTTACCAGTAGTTGAGGGATTTGGTTCCAAACATCATTGTGGCATTTCCCCCGCCTCCTCAGGGTCTAGGTTAAGCATAGAGAATAGGGATAAGAACCCCTTGCTGCCTTTTGGCTGAGCTTAGGAAGCAAGATAGAATTTTGAAATTTTGTTTCTCCGTCTCCTTCCCTGGCCTTTCTCTGGGCAGCCTCACAGAATTGATCTGGCACCTTTTACCCAGGGCAGCCCACCTATCCTGGTGATTTTAATTAAGCTTATGCTTTTCGGTGCTGCCTGGAGCTGTGTGGAGGTTCAGCCGGCGGTTACCAAGCTCACTTCACCCCTTTACTCTAGGTGTAGTTCTGGACCCTCCCCAAGCTATGTTACTGGCAGACCCTTGCCAGCTCTCATCAGCAGCTTTGTCCCCAGGCTAAGCTATTGAGTTATTCCTTCAGTAATACTTGTGACAAGCACGTGATATGTGGAGGTCTTGGAGAAACAGAGGCACAAAGAGCAGCTGACTTCTTAGGATCCTGTCCCTGTGTGGGTTTTTTTTTTTTTTTTTTTTTTTTTTTTTTTTGTCCCCCCGGTACTCTTAGATTAGATGCCTGAGATGATGTGGCTTCATAAGTGTCTTGTAAGCTTCCCTTGTTGCTTGTTTGTTGGATATATTACCAGGAATCCAGTTTTTGGGATTTGTTCAGTGGTAGGAGTTCAGAACGTTCATTTTCAGAGAAAAGGCCTCAGACCAAGGGCAACACCTCACCAGCCTCGACTTCAGGGAAGTTTGGGGACATAGGAGAATGATAAGGTACCTTTTCATCCATGCAGCCTCTCTGGCATTGGTGTTGTAGGAAAGCCAAGACTTTGTTAAGGTGACACAAACCATCTTGCGGTAATTCCAGCAACCAATTTTCACAGCACCCTTTGAGTATGCAGGCCAGCTTGCTCTATTTTGGGTATCGTGGCCTTACACCTTTTTATGCAGTCTCTCCTGTCCCCAAAGTACCAGAGCCCTAGTGAAGGACCTGCCAGATTCCTTCAAGTTTTAAGATACTCGGCAACATCTAAGACCAGAAGACACTAATCTCTACCTCAGCAACCACTGCCTGTCTTTCAACATCCCTGGGATGCCATCAGGCATCAGTGGCAGGGGCAGTGGATGGAGAACTCCTTGCTACCCATTCCCCTCCTCAGAGGTTTGGTGATGGGATGATTCTTTTCACAAGCTATCCAGGCTTGGGTGCCTACACTATGAATTAGCTCCTTGGGTTCCGCCTATGTCCGGAGATGGTCCTGGGGGAAAGAGAAGCAGATGAAAGTCAGGAAGGGAGGCTTTCTGCCATTCTAGTCCTAACGCTGTGTTCTTAAATGGTTTCAGACCAGCATCATCTGACTTGTCCCAAGAGTGCTCTGGCTACTGACACCATGCTTTTGTGGGATTCCTGGGACCTTAAGAGTCCCTGAAGGTGGAGGTCTTAGTCCCCTTTGGCTTTTTTTTTTTTTTTTTTTTTTTGAATGGTTAAAAAAAATTAGGGACAGAAAGAGTGCATTTTCCAAAAAGTCTATGATACTCACTTAGATTCCATGCATCCTTAGACTTGCTGACTCCTTGCAGCTAGGGAAGGCCTTCGCTTACATTTGTTTTTAAGGGGCCTCAGCCTTCCCAGTTGGGTTTGCAGGAGTCTGGAGCGGAAGGGGATACAGGGTCTGGGCATAGCTAGCACTCTCTGCTTAAGGTCCTCCATGTCTCCAGGAGACAATTTTTCATTCTTCATCTCTGGCCTCTGCTCTTCACTGGAGTGGAATGAAGTCAAGGCCTATGAGTCAGGACAGTGAGCTGGTCCTCCCATCCCTTGGCCTCCTCAGCTTACAGCTTCTTTTCTCAGAACAAGATTTTAGGGAGAATGTCAATGTCAGACTTTTGAAAACATCTACAGAATTCTTCTCCAGCCCATGGTTAGTTGTTATCAGCTTCTCCCCCTTCACCCTGCTTCTTATGCAAGTATTAATTCCATCTTGTGTTCTTCTGAAGCTCCGCAGGCGCAAAGAAAAATCATACTGAGCAACCTCTGCAAACTTTCTGTTCTTGTCCCAGTGGGTCCTTGTTTTTCATGTAAAAAGTGCCTTATATTGCCTCGTGGCCTTCACTGGTACTGTATGGCCAGCCCCCAACCGCCAGGGCTCTAGGGCTGACTGGCATATGCAGCCAATGACAGCATACCTCAGCACAGCTCCAGGTAAAAGGGACGTGGGTTGACAGTTTCGCCTCATTTGTTCTGACCCTCCTCTTCCTCACACATACAGTGTAAGGTCTTGTGTGTTCTCTGCTTTGGCTCTGGTCCCCCTTGTCTGTTGTCTTCTGGCTTGGCTCGTGGCTATGAAAGTTCATGGTGTGGGCCAGCTGCAGGTAACCATGCCTCCTATCTAATAAGGGAAGCCCGGGGGTTAGGAAGAAGGTCACCTCTTTGTACTCTGTCTGGCCCTATGTGGCGAGCCCTGCCCTTCCAGTCTCCCCACTGCCAGCCTAGATTAGAAATTGCAGCCTTTCCCATCCATTTTACTTCCATGTAGCCCCAAGTCTGTATGAGGAATGTGTTTACTTGTACTCCCTGGTTCCAAGTCTTAGCTCGTTGGTAACCTGCTTGGCAGTGCCTATGGTTTGGGAGCTGCAAAGCTCCTGGATTCCTGTCAGGGTTCCTAGCACCATCCCTCTCCCTGACCCTTGCCTGCCTGCCTGCCTGTTCCCACTCTTCCGGGTTGTGCAATAACCCCTCCCCCCCAGCCAGTGGTCTTTTCCACAGGCCCTTGTCCCTTACTGCATCCTGCAATATGGGAAGAGAAGGGACCCGTGGGAGGGGTAGTCATCATCCCTCACCGAAGTGTCAGTCTCTTTACTTCGTTGTTGTCAGTCTCATGATCCTGGGTGGGTTTCTGTGGCAATCTTAGAGAATGTGTAGTGTCGTCGTAGAAATCTTTATATTGTTTTTTAAAATATAAAAGTTAAAAAAAATTGTGTTGAAGAGAAGAAAAAAAAAAATCCTCAGAACGGGACATTGTCGGTGTGTGGGAATAAGATCACTCTGGCGTCCCTGACGTCAGCATCACTGCTGAAGGCATTCCAGGGTTTCTTGTTTCTGTGCAAAGGATGGACATGTTTCCAGGACTTCAGCACAGTGGTGAGCCCTGTCCGCCGACAGGGCCTGTCTGTCGTGGTGAGTACCGGCATTCTTTGGGGTACAGATTCGTGTGAGATTAAACCTCACTTTTCAGTTACTCTGTTTAACTGACACCCGAAGGATACGAGGAGGAGCTGGTGCACAAGAGCAACTCAATATGCAAATATGGACACATTGACTGTTTTTCTACACAGGCCTGTTCATGTTATGGACCAAATTCACCAAGGAACTCAAGGAAAATGTGTACCTGCCGTATTTATGCTTTCATATTAAAGGGTTGGGGGGAGGGCTATCTTTTTACTTTGGGTGAAATTTTTTTTCAAAGTCCTTTTTCCACTGTTTCTGTCTGGTTTTAGAAACAAGCTACAGTTTTGTATGGATTTTTTTTAACGAACATTTTGAAACAAATGATCAAATATTTTCTGAAATACCTGAATAAAGGGCATAGAACTATTGGTCGTAATGGTCTCTGATAGAATTCACTGGTATGTTCTTATATGGTAATTTTTTTTTTTTTTAGTCTTGATCCTTCCATGTGTTTTTACTTTGAAAAAAGCGAGTCTGTCAACTTTAGCTTTTGTGTCTAAAATTTTCCACTACATAGTAATTGGGATTTTTTTCACTTTTGTTTTGTTTTGAGATTGTGCCTCACTATATATTTCTGGCTGTCCTAGACCTCACTGTTTAGACCAGGCTGGCCTCAAGCTCACAGAGATCTGCCTGCCTAAGCCTCTGCCTCTGGAGAGCTGGATTAAAGGTGTACGCCACTCTGTCTGGCTGGGTTCCTTGTTTGATTATGGTCTGAGGGTGTGCAACAGTAATGGGAATTAATGACTGGAATTGGACAGTTGCTTTTGCCTCGTCTTGGGTAGTGGATGCATCTGCATCGTTTTTATTTATCTATAACATTAAATTAGAAAAGGGATTTCTTAACAGGTTATATGCAAGCTGGATGCAGCGGAATGAAGGCCTCCACACTTTGGCCACTCTCCTCTGAAGACAGTCAGCTTGGAGGGTATGCAGGTCTTGGTCTTCACGAATGTAGGGTGCCAATCCAGTAAGAATGGCGGTGGCAACATGTGGCTGCTGTCGCATATATAGCCTACTATTGGATGCAGCCGTCTGCTACACTTTCCAGAACTGTCCTTGGGGGGGGGGGGGGGGTGCCGAGGAGATGCATGCAATTTCAGGTGGCGGTTGGCCAAGGAAAACCTACAAGGGGTAAAAATCACCCAGGGACTTGCTTGAGGTGAAAGTGTGTGTGGTGCTGATGGCTGCAAGCTTTGGTGCAAATGGGTTTTTGCTCTGCTCTCCATAGCACGCTGGGTAATATCCAGCAGTTGGCCAAGTTAGCCCGTTTCTCGTTCTGCGGGTTTTGTTTCTCAAGATGGGGTGACTGGCAACAGTGTTAAGTTTGTGGTACAAATAAATGTGTATATAATTTGGTTTTGATACATGGTGTTTCTGCATAGCTCTGGCTGGTCTGTTAACTGGTTTTCTAGCCCAGGCTGGCCTCAAACTCATGGCAATCCAGCCTCTGCCACCCAGGAGCTTGGATCACAGGTATGCGCCACCATGCCCACCTTTAAATTGGTTGTTTTGTACTTTTGAGACAGGGTCTTACGATATGTAATCCTGGCTGGCTTCAACTGTACTGCAGACTAGACTGGCCTTGGGCTTGGGCAGTCTTCCTGCAAGGTGCTGGGATCCTGCAAGGTGCTGGGATCACGTACACAACCATACCTGGCTAAATTGATCTTTATAAACATTTGTGCGTGTATACCAACAGGCCATATATCCAGGGGCCCTTGAAAACAATATTTAGAGAAATCTTCTTTACCTGTTTGTCCTGAATATACTGAAAACTTGTTGACCCAGAGTGAACCCTCTTAATCACAGACAGTATGTTCAAGGCCCCCTAGTGGTGTATTTGGGGTAGGTATCATGGACTGAAAAGTCAGTCAAGCCACCAAGCCAGTCTTCAAGGCAGCTTTTTATGTTTTCCTGCCCTGAAGCAATGAGCTGTAATTATTAATCTTGGATACTTCCCCCAGTTAAATCTGATAGCCTTGGCTAGCTGTCAGTGTGCTGGCGCCACAAACGGGGCTGGTGGTACTTGTCCTGATTCCATTCCCCAGTGGCTTCTTTGAAGGGATGGTCATCTCTTAATATTGCTTACTGCAGGCATCACTTAGCTGTCATCCATCACCTGAGCCCTAGCTTGGAGATGCAGGCCAGTTGTGACACTATCATACTGGATACCTGATGGCATCTCATGGCTGCATGGCCCATTCAGGGCCTCAAAGAGAAGTGAGATCTGTTTTGGTTTTGGAGTGAAAAGTAACAATGTTTCCACAGAAACGGCCTTCAGCCCTGGTCACCTATGAATTATCCGTCATACCCTGTCAGGGTATTTGTCGTCAGATCTTCTCAATCTTGGGTCCATTTGAAAGATGCAAGAGGAGGCATGGGAAGCAAGCGTATGGAACCTGAGTATGCTAAGCCTATATAAGACCACTTTCTCTTTTTGACACTACAGTGAGCAATAGAAAGATCTGTCTGTATGTTATCTGGTAGAAAAGATAAGGAATAAGTAGCCAGAACTGAGATTGGAGGGTATGGTGGTTTGAATAAGAATGGGCCCCATAGGCTCACATATTAGAATACTTGGTAATTAGTGGATAGGGCTACTTGAGAAGGATTATGGGGTATGGCTTTGTTGGAGAAAGTGTGTCACTGAGGCTGAACTTTGAGCTTTCAGAAACCTAAGCCAAGCCCAGTGGCTTGTTCCTTCTCTTCCTTTTGCCTGTAGCCCAAGGTAGAACTCTCGGCTCCTTCTCCAGCCTGCATGTTGCCATTCTCCCTACCGTGGTAACATTAGACTAAAGCTCTGAAACTGTAAGCAAGCCCCAATTAAATGCTTTACTTCGTCAGCATTGCTGAGGTCATGGTGTCTCTTCACAGCTATAGAAAGAACACTGGCTAAGACAGAGGGGTTATGAATGTTGCAGCTTCAGAGTGGAAGAAGGGGCCTAAAAGATAACGCCTCCATTTCAGCAGAAGCCCAGAGCTAATGGAAAAAAGACCGAGAAGCATTTCCGCATGCTACTGACCATCCGCATCTATGAAAGATTGACAGGAGTCGGCTGTAGCTTCTGTGAACGTTCATCTTTTATGGGAGGCAGTGATAGTTGAAAAGAAAGAAAGTATGGATTCTCAGGAGGATTTCAGAGTGCTGCGGGTACTGCCATTCAACTTGCCAAAGTTTAAACTTAAAAAAAAAAAAGGTCTGGTGCGGTGTATATGTGTATACATATTTGAGTGTGAGGGGGGAACACACTGTGGGGTGCATATGAAGAGTGGAGGACAACCTTGGGTCGGTCCCTGCCACCTTCTTTGAGGTGGAGTCTCACAAGTGCCCTTGTGCTGAGAACTCTGGGGTAGTTGGGTCTGTGAGCTTCCTGGGGCAGCTTCGGTCTCCACCTCTCAGATCCCTGGGAAAGGGCTAGAATCACACTGCCTGCAGCTGCAGTGGCCTTTACGTGGGTTCCGTGGATCTGAACTCCCTGCCTCAGTCCTCTGGAATCTAGAAAGCATATTTGGGGGTGGCTGATTCTTACCTAAAATAAGTCTAAAGGAAACGAATTGGCCTCCCTAACTACACAGCCAAGTGCCTTCTTAAAGGAGCAATTGGGGAAGACCAGGTACCCTGAAAGGGCATGTCAGCCCGAGAGAGCCCCTCCTGAGAGACCGTTCTGAGGAAGAAGGGGAGCCTAGGGAGTATGCCTTCAGAGCTGAGCAGCTGGGGACCAGGACGACCATGCACAGGATTTCTGTGGAAAATGACTTAAGAGCTCCCTCAATAAAAGTGCCCTGTGAGTGAGGACAAGCCAGTCACTCGGCCAGCCCTGGCTCCAGGTGATTTTACTGACCACTGAAATAATACGTTCTTCCCCATTTTCCCGGTTATGCTCCTTAACCTTTTTTTTTTTTTTTTTTTTTTTGTATTCCAAAGGTGAGGAATGGGATACAGGAGCCAGAGGAAGTACTGCACCTGTCTAGCACACACTCTCCCAAAGGCTCCCAGGCCTGGCTCAGGACTGGATGGAGTAGGCACACTAAAGCTTGACTTCATTTAGACCAAAACAGATTTTTTTTAAAATACTTAAAAGTAAAACTTCAAGCAGCTAAAAACTGTGGGCGAAAACAAAACATGGTTTCTTCCTGAGATAGCCTAGAGCCAAAAAGAAACCCCTGAACAAGCTTGATAGATACGTTTTAACTCCTTGCAAAAGGCAAGACCAGGAAGTCCCCTTGGCAGTTTTGAGAGGACCTGAGGATTCTGGGTCCTGTATGACTTCATCCTCTACATTGTATGATTTGAGTGGCAGGAATGAATCTAGCATAGCTGCCTTCCAAGGACGAGCAGCCCTGGCTGTCAATCAGAGCTCATTAGAGAACCAGGCTTGCTAAAAGGAACTCTTTTCTAAAGATATTTACATTATAGCCCTGTAAATGCAAAGATTTTTATTAAAATAGGCACCAAACTATGTACACCGCATTATTGTTTATTCCATTTTAAACTGTTGGGGAGTTGAATTGAGGGTCTTTGTATACGCTAAGAAAAGAGTCTGCCACTGAGTCAGACCCCAGGCTCCCAGTTTTTATTCCATTAATGGGCTTAGAATTACACTCTGAAAAGCAGGTAGTATATACCCTACAACACTGAGGGGAGTAGATGGGTAGGTAGGAATGATAGAAAAGACTATCATTCCTTCTGTTCTTAATCCTTCTGCATCTATGTTCAGCTTTTCCAGAGAATCAGAAGTCTAATTGTGTGTGCGGTGGTATGGTATGGGCAAGCATGTATGCTTGTGCAGGCTGAGTCTGTAAGCTGGAAAAGAACTGAGGGTCCAGCTCTAGTCTGTGGGCTGCAGGCTCTGGACACGGGAAGTATACATCTGAAGGCGAAGAAGGCCACGTGGCCATTAAAGGCAGGGGAATCTCTTACTTGGGGGAGGCAGGGTGTTGATCAGTTTATTTATCTATTCAGGCTTGTGGGTCCTTACTTAAGATCTGTTTTACTTGTCTACCAATCCAACAGTTAGCCACATCCCAAGCACACTTACAGGCACATTCGGGACCCTGTTTGATGAAGTCTAGATCCCCTTGGGTCTCATAGTTAAGTATAAAATTAACTGTCGTGGTACTCCTGCCACTTCAAATAAGGCACCGGTCTTCAATTCTTTGAAAAATCAATTTACTTTAGACTTTAGTAATAGTTAAACAGAAGAGCCAAAAAATACATACAGCTCCAGGAGTGATGTCGATGCTAGCACGGTAAATACCAAGTAGATTCCTCAATGTCGGTTCAGTGTCAAAAATGTGTGGCGCATCGTCTCACTCGGGTCAGTTCGAGAAGGCTCGAACAAAGTTCTGGTAGTTAATCCTGCCTTCTCTGTGGGTACACAGCTTGATTAGCTGCAATGGAACAAGGAGGACAGGTAAGACGAGGCTTCCCTCAGCTTATCTGTAGAGTGCACTTACGCAGAAAGAGCCCCGGTTTTTGCCAACCCAAACAGAGTCCAGCCTTTATATCCTCAGTTGACTCTGAAATAATCCTGTGATCCTGGAAGGCAAGTCAGACATTAAGCTCCATCTTATACATAGTGAAACCACTATGTGGTAATATCCGTGTTTATAAGGGCGTAGTTATTGTCATGATAATTTTTCTTTTTTTTTTTTTCTTTATCTTTTGAGGCAGCATCTCACTTTGAGGCCTCAGCTGGCCTTGAACTCATGATCCTCCTGCCTCTGCATTCCACATGTTGAGAATGCAAGCATGTACCAGCAGACCCAGCTTCAAAATGCTTTTATCGCTAGCTTCAAATATAAATACTTTTGCCCACAAGAACTAGAACCCACAAGAACTAGACATCCTTAAATAGCAGGCTCATACTGTTGCAGCCTAATAGGAGACTCTAGTTATATATTCTAGATTTAGATCTAGTTTTAAATGTCCCCTGGACTCATCATTGATAGGTAATAGTGATTGGCTCTGGTCATCTTTGTAACATGCAAATCTGCCTCACCCGCCCCCTATGCACCCCACTTCCCAGTGGCTGAACTTCCCCTCTCATGTCTGCTCCTGTGTCACACAGTATGAATAACTTAAAGAAAAACAAACAAACAAAAAAGAATTAGCCATGCTGTCAATGAAAGGCTTCTTAGAGCTAAATGTGTGTTTAGCCCACATGAACAAGTACCCTTCTATCTGTTCCTCCCTATTCCTTGTCACCAATGTTTTTAAAGAGACCAAACAAAACCCTGCATCCTAACCTAGTTACTTAAACCAAACCATTTTCCAAATGGACTTAAATTTCTAAATATCCCCTCCTGCTTGAAGATCTTCAAGAAGGTCAATGAAGCCTTCTTGTTCTTAATCAACGAGCATGTCTTGATGAGGGGGGGGGATTTTTTCTGACTTCCAAGGGGCTCCTGGCTAACAGGATTTGTAATAAATAATTGACACCCTTATTTAACAGTCATGAAAAACTTCCGCGCCATCTCCCCCACCTGCAGCTAGCCAGGCAGCCCCTACAGCCACTGCTGCCTTGGGCAACGGTCCTAACAACTTTGGCTTCCACGTGAGTCCTACTGATGAGCCGCTTTTGAAGGCCTACAAAGCCTGCAAACATCCTGTTCAATTAACTTCTCTTTGGGTCCCTTCTTGGCAGCTGCTGCCCCAGGATCTCCTATACTACCTCCCATCCCTGATATTGCTTGGCTAGCAGCTTTTCTGCTGACTGTCCCCATTTCCGTCTTAAGAGACACCATGCAGCAACAATTAGAATAGGAAGTCTATGCTGCCACGTGGGAAATCCCATCATCAGAACAGAGTAGGGGACCGGTTCCTTGTTACTCTTTAGGAAGGAATGACCAGTACTCAGCTTCTACAATCAACCCAAAACCACAATTCATACTGACCTCCTTGATCAAGGTGTTATCAACTGGGACATTAAGAGTGTCGCAGATCTTAAAGAACAACTCTTTGTCCACATATCCTGAATGCTCCTTGTCATGTATTTGAAATGATTCACGGAGGTTGTTTTTGCATGAATGGTCTTTCAGGTGCAACTGGATTGCCTCTGACAGGGTCTGCATGTCCTGTGCCTTGGCTTCCTCTGACTTGGCTTCCTCCATAGCTTGCTTGCTGTAGAGAAGGAAGGAAATGATCGGATATATAGTCATTCTTGACCAATCTTACCTCACTGTCCAAAAGCTGTTATTTGGTGAAATCTGGGAAGCTTCTAACAAAAAACAGTTGTAACACAGAGCTGACAGCCAGCTGCTGGTGACTGACCGCCATATTGTAAGGGCTGGTCTGGGACAGTGTTTGAGCTGTCTCCCTTCTTTCCATCTGTTAAATCACTTGACCACAGAGAGCCAGGTCTCATGTGCCATCATTCCTAATTTGATATTTGTGGGAACCACACTCGTCTCTTTCTACAGACTAACATTACCCCATCCAAATCCAAGTGCCTGGGTACTTAGAAGCTATCTATGAGTGTAAGTAGGTCAACAGGAGCCTCTCACAGTTTTAACATTCCCTCTTCAGTTCTCAGGGAGTTTTGTGGAAGGCCACATATGGGAGATTAGAGACTGCCCTAGGGAATGCAGTATTACATACATACATACATACATATATATATATATACACACACACACAACAAAATGTTAGAAGCAGTCATCTCTGGTTTATGAGATGTCTTTTTAAATAGTTGGTCTTACTGCAACTTGTATAACCTACATTTTATTCCCTCTGTTTTGTTTCCCTCGTTGTTCTTGTTTTTGAGACATGGTCTCACTATGTAGCCCAGGCTAGCTCTTAACTCCCATTCCTCCTAAAGCTTCCAGGTTCGTTTTGAAATGATTATTTTCCTAAACCATGTTATTTTGTAGTTTTCTAAAGTGCCCTTCTTTTACAGCTGAATTTGCCTATTGTTTCTATTTTTCATACAATGAATTTAAATCGCTTCCAAAAGTCAGGAAGTGTTTTTGTTTTGTTTTGTTTTGTTTTGTTGCTTGAATTTCAGATGAGATGTGTTTACAGCTAGAGCTATTCTTAAGATTTGATTTTTTTTTCCTAGTAATTTTTGGAGTGATATAGCCCAGGCAACAAGATGAAAAAACTTGGTAGATATGGAATTCTGGAAAAGACTTTTTGATTTTAATTAATTAATTATAGTTTTTGTTCATTTTGTTTTGTTTTGACACAGGATCTCATATAGTACAGGTTGGCTTTGAAGTTCCTAGATAGCTGAGGCTGACTTTGAACTCCTGTGTTCAGATAGTTACAACTGTCTGCCCCCAGCTATTGTGGTACATGAAAAACATAAATCCCCTCTGAGCTAAGCCAATGAGAATTTGTTTCTGCAGCTACCACTGGGGGTGCCAAGTGCATGCAAATGTAACTCTCATTGACAGCTTGCTTCAAATCAAGAAGTGGTGAAAATGAAAACGGGAAATCAGGAGCTAGAGGTATTGTAGAGTCAAACAAAAGAGCGCAGAAGCTTATTGGACATGGCACAAAATATAAGAGGTTAGGGGTCTGTATCTACAAGGTTCCCATCACAAGAAAGGGAGAGCCAGGCACTGTGGCACACACCTGTAATCCCAGCACTTGGGGAGGCAGAGGCAAGCAGGTCTCTGTGAGTTTGAGGCCAGCCTGGTCTACAAAGCAAGTCCAGGACAGCTAAGGCTACACATTGAAACTCTGTCTTGAAAACCAGAAAAGGGAGGGAGGGGAAGAAAGGTCGGAGTTAGCCGGTATTGATGGCCCCCTCTCTAACAGACACTGCTGGTGACTGACATTTCATCATGGCTCATTATCTCAACCTTAGAAAAGAATAGGGCAGAAATAAAGACAAGAGGGGCAGGTGTCCTGGGAGAGGACGTGACAAATGGCTTTTCAGTTGTAACCAGCATTTCAAAGGACACCATAAATAGACAAAAAGAAAAAAAAAGGCAGGCATCAATGGCTAGGACAGAGAGTGAGAGCAACTCACACACTGAACACTGTCTAGAGAGTTTAGAAGAGGCAAACAAGAGGACAAACCGGGGATCCCGAGAACCAGCAAACCTGGATGACGTAAATCGGAAGATGTACCTGACAGGCTCTCAGGGGAGAACACCAGACTCTTGGCTCTCCAGATCAAAACAAGAGGTTTCAAAGGAAGATGGTGAAGAGTAACTAATACTGTATGTACACCAAACAAGCTAACTGTGGATGGGGAGGGGTCTGGAAACTGGACGTGGGCCAAATCTAGCTGAAGACTGCTCTTTATTCAGAAGGACCTATTGGAACACACCCTGTCCTGTTCATTTACCCTTGCCTGTGGCTGCTTTCATGCTGGAAGGGTGGGGCTGGGTATTTCCAGGAGATGCTGTGACTGAGTCACTCAGCGTCTTGAGTCTATACAAAGAAAAAAGCTTGCCCGCTTCTGCTCTAGGCCACAGCCCTCTATTGTCTCACATGTTTACTTAAGCCTGTGTTAATGTAAGGTCTAATGCAGGTGCAAGCTCAAATATCTGCTCAACTAATGAGGGAGACTGTTTTTAAAATGTTTTAACCACATTTCCTTATTACTTCACTATCTGTTGCTTCTTTTTTTGTTTGTTTTGTTGTTGCTCTTTGAGCCGGTTTCTCTGGGTAGCTGTGTAGCCCTGGCTGTTGGCCTCTGTACCAGGTGTACAGAAATCTACCTACCTCTGCCTCCAGAGTGTTTGCATCAAACCTGTACATCACCACAGCCTGACTGAGACTATTATGTTTGGAAACCAGCAATGATGTTCAAGAAAGTGATTCATGAAGAGTGTTTAGATTCTCATGCAATCGTGGAGAAAATGGTCAAAGCAAAGCAAAGCAAAGCAAAGCAGTAGCCTTGTGTTTAGAGAAGGTGACCGGAGGTGAGAAAGGACGGCCACATGGACATTTGGAAGTAAAGGTGGACCAACTGCAGGAGTGCCCGCTACAACCTTGTGTCTTACATTTGTTGGATATTTTCTTTTTCAGCTTACCTTTGTAATGCATATGGGTGTTAGCCTGCATGAATGTTTGTGTACCACATGCACGGAGTCAGAAGAGAACATCAGCAGTACTGTAACTGGCATTAAGGATAACTGAGCCACTGTGTGAGCTGCACTCAGGGCTGTCTGGAAGAACAACCAGTGCCCTTAATTGCTGAGCCATCCTTGAGACCTGGGTTTCACATTTGAACTGCAAAGTGAGTATCAAAGAGTGGGGCTTGAAGACCAGGGGAAGGGAAAAGAGAATACCTGGAGACATCTCCAAGGGAGAAAGGAAGGACTACAAGACTCACTGAGTGAACAGGGCACCCACCTGGGGCTGAAGGGCACCGACGAGCATGCTAAAGAAAGACAGACACAATCTACGTGTGTGTGTGTGTTCATGCTGGTCAAAAAGATAGATTTTGTGTACAAGTGGGCTTATGAGCCACATACATGTTTGTTTTTTTTTTAATCCTTAAATCTGAGTTCACAAAATTACAAAGAAAGGCCTGCAGAAATGGCTTAGTGGTGAAGAGCACTGGCTATTCTTTCAGAGGCTCCAGGTTCATTTCTGATCCCCACATGACTCAGAACCATCTACGACTCCATTCATAGGGGATCCCAGGCCTTCTTGTGGACTTTATGAGCAACAGGCACAAACACAGCGCCCAGACATTTATGCAGGCAAAACAGCCATACATAAAAAATAATTTTTTTTAATTGCAGAAGAGACTCCAGACTCCCTAAGAACCTCAAGCTGCAATCAGTAGTCAATTAATTTCCTGTGTGCTATGCTAATTTTCTGGTCCAGAGAAAATAATGGCTAGATGCTCCAAAATCCATCCTCTTGTAACTTATACCTGCCATAAAAATACATGATAAGTTTATTAAGATTAGTAGTTGAATAGAGGATGTGCACTTCCTATTGTAGGGTTTGTTATAGATTGGGGGGAAAAGCAAAGCACCAACGCTGGGAGGGCTTGAGACACAGGAGTGTGACATGAAGATTTATGTCATCTTCAAGCATTTCCTCATAGAGAACAAATGGGAGCATCAAAACAAGGATAGCGACAACTTTCTTAATCCCCAAACTTGCCCTTTCTCTTTGCTCTTGTTGGTACAGAGGTCTCAGGGCCCCTGGTGCACCTTTCCCTCATTGCCAAATATAAAATAAGATTTTGCCGGTAGGGTAGCATGCTTAAGCAAATAGCTCCCAGGCTCTGCGGGTATTTGCACAGCCGAATAGAAGGGGACCCTTTTGAGAAGTAGTTGAATTGAACACAGTGGCCATGCATACCAAGTGGGCCCTTAGTGCCCACCCTGCAGGCTTCCCTAGACAGCTTCCCTAGACAGCTGCGCTATTTCTTCAGTTCTCACAAACCAGGATGGAAGAATAGGGACGTAAAGGAGAAAGGGAGAGGGGAAAACCTTCGCCCCCGGTACCTGGATTAAGCCTCTTTCTGAACTGTATGAAATCACCTGCAAAGGATTAAAGTCCCCCCCCCCTTTTTTTTTGAGAAAAATCTCACAAGAGGCTGAGCAGGTTTATCATCAAGATGTGTGCCTTGGCTCTGTGTGACCTATGATACAGTAAGAATCCCTTTGGCCTTTCTGGGTCTGTGGTTTTAGTCAGCACTCCTTTTCTTCCTTGAAACGTTTATAATGCGCCTTATAAACCACCTTATGACCTCATTTAATAAAGAAGAGATCCATTTGCTCATCTACTTATCTACTTATTTTTGCAAAACTGGGGATTAAACACCAGACCTCATACATGCCAGGTGAAGTGTTCTACCTCTGAGCTGCATCTCCGGTCTCATTTTCACTCTATTTTTGAGACATGGTTTCATTAAGTTCTTCAGGCGTGCCTTGAAGCTGTGAGTAGCTAGGACCACAGGCCTTTTCCCTAAAGTCTGGCAGGGAGAGTTCTTTAGAGAAAATAATTGTACCAAAATATTCTTCCTTAATCTTTCAAATCCTTTGAGTAATGTGTTTTCAATAGCCAGCAAAATCAGATGTATACACTGTAGTAAATAAATATGATTAAATATTATTCTTAAATATGATTCTCTCCCAGAAGCCTGAGTCCTTCCTAGGGTATGTGTAACAGCTCTTTTTTCAAACCTCTCTCCTTTCTTCCCA